TCCCTACCCTCCTGGTATCACTACTCCCAATTCTGCTCCTGAGGGGTTTATCTGACCTGGATTCCATTGTAATGAGCTCTTATCTATTTACAGGATCTGGTCTAGCCAGAACGGAAAGGCAGGACTGGGGTCATGATAGAGGGGGGTGAGGCAGTCTCGAAGAACCAGAGGACTATTGTGTGTTTCATCGGTGCTGTCCTGCGCCTGGTCGACTCATCCCTTCCTTGGGACCCTTCTGTGAGGGGCTGTCCTATTGTCTACAGTTGGGTTTGGGGTCTCTGCTCCAGCCCCCGTCATTCTCAACAATATGTTTTTTTGGTTTGTTTTAGGTCTTCTGATGCCTGTGACCTGACTCAGGAGGATTTTTAGGGCTGTGTGACCCTTCATTCTCTCTCTCAAAAAATGTAAACCTTATTTATTTCGGTTTTTAAAGAATAAAACAAACCAACATCTTCCGTATCGCTGTACAAACCATCTCAACAAATCAACAATAAACCCCCAAAGTCTAACTCACTGCCCCTGAGTCGATGCCGACTCTCAGCCCCCCTTTAGGACAGGGTAGAACTGCCCCTGGGGAGTTCTGAGACGCTAACCCTTCACAGGGGGAGAAAGTCTCATCTTTCTCCCTCAGAGCGGCTGGTGATTTCAAACTGCTGACCTTGCAGTTAGCAGCCCCACCGAATAATGAAAGAAAGTTTGTTTTTAAGCACATGACTCAATTTCTCAACAACAACAACAACAAAACAAAAGAAAAGAAAACAGAAAGAAAGCATTAGTGGATGAGCTATGAAATGGTCAGAGGTCTAACCCCACCAGCTTCTCCCCAGGACAAAGACATGGCTACCTGCTCCTATCAAGAGTTACAGCCTGGGAAGTCCACAGGGACCGTTCTACCCTGTCCTATAGGGTCTCTATGAGTTGGCATCATGGGACCCTGTGGGGGCCCGAGGAGGACTGTGCTCTGTCGGGTTTCCAGGGACCGAGTGTCTCTCAGGCTTTTCTTCAGCGGAACCTTTGCACGGACAGGGACCTCAGACTACCTGTACCACGCAGGGACTCTGCCCTTCCCATCACAGCTGTCGAACTGATAGCCGTGGCAGAAATGGTCTGGTCTGCAAAGCCGGAAATCTGGACTCCCCAGCCCTTTACAGCATATATTGGCAGCTCCTGCCCTCCCTGCCCTCTGCAGCCATTTTTGTGAAGATCAATGAAGTGATAAGCAGAAGACGACTGTGAATACCAGGATGTATCGATATTGTCCTTGGCATCCCCAGCTTAGCAGGAAGAACTCTGTTTTGTTTTGAATGCTTTCAACATCTCTGGCTGCCCGCTAGCTGCCCCCACCCCGTCCTTCCCTGTGGGAAACGATAGCCCGGGAAGAGAGTGTATTTATTCTCAGGTTGAAGAAACCTGGAGCCCCTAATTCTGATGGAAGGAGGCCTTCAGTTTTGTGAGTTGGAGATGAGTCCCAATCATAGTCTCCTACTTAAAAATCGTCCCCACAAGAGCCTCCATGATGGCGCTACCTTAGAAGCGCATGGCTGATTGCTATATCTATAGGAGCTAGATCTCTAGGGGCAGACATGTTGCTCTTGCTCTCCCTGCTCAGGGGACAGCCCCCCCCCCCTTATCTGCCTCCCAGCACTGGTGTTCGGTTACACCCCCCCTGGCCCACCACAATGAGCTCAGGGGCCTGTTCAAGGTTAAGATGCTGTCCCCTTGTTAAGGAGGTAGGTGTCTGTGGTTGGGGAGGCTTGCATGCCCAAGACGATATAAGTTGGTGAAAGATGTGTTCTGTCTCTCTCCCACTCGGACCTGGTTCCTGAGGCCACGGAGGAGGTGAGCACCCCCAAACTTTTGTCTGCCTCTTAATTTCTTCCCTTCAACGACACAACTGTCCCTTAGGACCCATCCGGATGTGGGTTGAATCCCCACACTTCCCCTCCCTGATCAGCTGACAAACCTTGACTCTGGAGATGCATGTCTCCGGACCTTCCCAATCAGTAAGAAATGTAAGCCAGACTCTGAGTTATCACTTGGAACTGTTGTTCCCTTTGGTCCAGCGGTTCCTAGCCTGGGGGTCGCGACCCCTTTGGGGGGTCAAATGACCCTTTCACAGGGGTTGCTTAAGATCATCGGAAAACACACACTTCCGATGGTCTTAGGAACCAAGACAGGGCTCCTCTAGCCGTCTCCAGGCGGGTCCACCCACATGCAGGTATGCCCACCTACGAGTACCCGGCTTGAAGACAGTTACCCATGCTACACCATGCTTCAAGACAAAATCTCATCGATTTGTCATTAGAAAGAAATCTTTCACAATCTAGAATGACATCTTGTTTTTGTGACTCATCACTATGCTTTCAAGCTGTTCCATTTGTAACCATGAAAATACATCCTGCAGATCAGATATTTACATGACGATTCAGCACAATAGCAAAATGACCGTGATGAAGTCGTAATGAAAATAATTTTATGGTCGGGGGTCACCACCACATGAGGAACTGTATGAAAGGGCCACAGCATGAGGAAGGTGGAGAACCATTGCTCTAGTCCCAGGGTGCTGCTTCCTTGAGGGGTAAACTTCCCTCCCTTGTAAGCCAGCCTCTGCCTTAACGATCCAGACCCCATGTTTTCTTTGTTCGGGGTGGAAAGGTTGCCAGACTCTAGCCGCCTCTCGGAGCAGCTGTAACAGAGGCTTTTCTGTTACGTGGCGTGCGATTAATCTCTCTTGGGGAAGATCTATTACAGCCATCACTGCCCGGATCATCATGGCGGTATTTCTACACAGCATCTCTGCCCAGGTGGTTCCTTTTTTTTTTAAATTGGTCTACAGTTTTCTTTCTTTCTTTCTTTCAAATCATTTTATTGGGGTCTTGTACAACTCTTTTTTTTCTTAATCATTTTATTAGGGGCCCATACAACTCTTATCACAACCCATACATACATCAATTGTGTCAAGCATATTTGTACATTCATTGCCCTCATCATTCTCAAAACATTTCCTCTCCACTTAAGCCCCCGGCATCAGCTCCTCATTTTCCCCCTCCCTCCCCGTCTTGTACAACTCTTATCACCATCCATCCGGCCATCCATTGTGGTAAGCACATTTGTACATGTGTTTTCCTCATCATTCTCAAAACACTTGCTTTCTACTTGAGCCCTTGGGATCAGCTGCTCACTTTTACCCCCTCCCTCCCCCACCGTCCCCAGAAGGTTACTTTGAGGACTAAGGTGCCCCTGACCCAAGCCATGGTCTTTTCAATCCTTTGCTGTGCATGTGAAAGCTGGGACACGGAATAAGGAAGCTGGAAGAAGAATTGATGCATTTGAATTGTGATGCTGGAGGACAATATGAAAAATGACTTGGAAGGGAGGGTGGGTGGTGGGTGGGAAATGAGCCGACACCAAGGACTCAAGTAGAAAGAAAATGTTTTGACAAAGATGATGGCAACCTAGGTTCAAATGTGCTTGCCACAATGGATGGAGGTGTGGATTGTGATACGAGCTGTAAGAGCCCCCAATAAAGTGATTACAAAAAACAACAATGGCATTTAAAACCTTTTGAAGCCCCTTCATGTGTAGAGGAATTTCTTGACAGAAGTGAGTGCCCCACTCTAGTAGACCTGAAGCTACTCAGTTGTGCAGAATGGCAAAAATGCCTAGTTTCTGTAGGCCAGGCTCTCTGTCCCTTGGCACGCAGTCTCTTTAAGACTAGAGGGCAGGGTCTCTTCCCCTCCCAGGTCCCTGGATGGGATGAGATTGCGTATGAACCACGATGAGATGACTTGTGGAAGACTCCATGGGGTTGAGATGGGAGGATGAAGAGACGGGGGTTGGGGTGGGGGCCAGGAGAGAGAGAGAGAGAGAGAGAGAGGTCTGGGGGCTCCCATACCTGAGGGTCTGGTTCTCCCAACGTCTCTTCATTAGGAGATAGGCAAGACTGCCCATGAGGAGGGCCCCCGTGGCCAGAGAGCCGATGATGATGGCGGTCACCATACCGATGTCCATAGGTAAGTGTGTACTGGGCAGCTCCTGGAGCTTTTCTGGGGGCGAGAGAGGACCGTGTGATAAGTTGCGAGAGCACCCTTTCCACTGCACCCAGTTTCTACCCATAGTGCACCAGAACCTACCCAGGCTGCACTGGTGCTTACCCATGCTGTATCAGTAACCAGTACCTACCTATCGTGCCCTGGTTGATGACTGCCACACTGCACCAGTGGCTACCCACAATGCACCAGTGACTATCCACACTGCACTGGTGATTACCCATAGAGCACCTCTGAGGGGTGTCTATTTTCAGCCCCTAGTTTTCTCCTGCTTTCTTCAGCTACCTCCTGGTCCCCCAGCAGCTGATGACAGCGCTGCACACCAGGCTCAGCCTGTCCCAGATGGAACTCCTCGGCTGCCCCCTGACCCCAAACCTCTGTTTCCCTAGGACTTCCTGGACCCCTCTCTGTTGCCACACCCCCCGGGGATGAAGTCCACCTCTTGCCTCCCTCCATATCCCACCAGCCACCCCCATTTGCCCCACCTTAAAACCCAAACAAACCCTCAAAATCCTTGCTATCCAGTCAGTTCTGACACATAGAGATGCCTCATCACGGTGCAGAATTGCACCACAGGGGTTTCTTGGTGGCCATCTTTACAGACCGCCAGCCCTTCTTTCCATGCTGCCTCTGGGGTGGATTTGAAGCACCATCCTTCAGGTCCGTAGCTGAGCATCAACTGTTGGCACCACCCAGGGACTTCCTTTCCCACCTCAGTTGGTGACCCATGTGTTCACTCAGGAAGACTCTCTGCTGTTTTGTGCAGGATTCTTGAGTGGGACTGGGCCATCTTTGGGACAGCCCCTAACCTGACCTTCAGCCTGGAGATCACCCAGCTTTGACTCTCAAGCTGGATAATTGCTTCCAAGAAATGCCAAGTATAAGGAAGGCTATGAATTGAATTGTATTCCCCCCAATAGATTGACCAACCAGCCATCCAACCAACCAGCCAACCAACAACCAACCAACCAGTCAACCAAGCAACCAACCAACCAGTCAACCAAGCAACCAACCAGCCAACCAACAACCAACCAATCGACCAACCAGCCAGCCAACCAACAACCAACCAACCAGCCAGCCAACAACCGACAAACCAACAAATCAACCAACCAGCCAACCAACCAACCAACCAACCAGTCAACCAACCAACCAACCAACCACCAACCAGCCAGCCACCCAACAACCAACCAACCAACCAGCCAGCCAG